AACCAATCACTATTAACCAGACCTTGGCTCGAAAAGCATGCGGACATACACCTACCTTAAACCCGGATTCCGCGACGTGGTATCTACCACTATGTAACCTCCCATGGTCAATATTCAACGAACACTGCATCGTGAATTATTACTTATCCATCTGGCTCTTTAAACCAAATTTGGAATATGAATACTAGTGTCTAGCTACACTATATCAGTACAATTCAACCATCCCTATAATAACGAGCAAAGGGGAAAGTCAATATTCATGACCGCATAGCACTTCTTAATCGACACACATAAAAGGTAAAATACGATCTCATACATAATATAGCCACCTGTCGTCCGATCGCTCCCCAATACATATCAATACCGATACATATTACACTTCTCGTCGGGGGCCTGTTTTCAACCATCAACTGCTGTAACGGGGCGCAGGACTTGTCTCCCTCAACAACAGTCTATGCCAGTCTGTTTTAATCTTCTCGGGTCGCCTAATTTCTCGTTCTTCGCGATCATTTTTACGAGATAACTTGATACCTAAAATCCTAAAACAGGCCGTCTCCATCAATATTTACAGCCTCGTGTCTCGCCCTCCTCATATTGCTGTCGTGTTTCATAGCATTACGCACACCATTATAGTGGTGCTCTACCACGAATAAACCCCTAACGAAATGATGCTAAGCCTGCATATTGTGGCCCTCCTCCGCAGTTGTCGTGTCGGTGTCAACGGGCCCCTCATCTTCTAACATGTGTTTAGGTACACAGTCCTCGTAGCTGACATGGGACTCGGGGGTTTCGAATCGGTCGATCACATCGGAAGGGCCTTGAGGGCCTAGTAGTATTTGTCTAGGGGTCATAGGAGAAACTGCTGGCAAAGTTGGGACTATATCATCGTCATCCTGGCAGGAATCCCTAGAGACGCGATGCTGCATTATATGGACCTCCTCAGCAAAGCGCATACTCAATGGCGGTCTCATGTTGTCGCTGCTCAGTCGCTCTGCTTGGCTTTCCAAAGTCACAGACCTACGCTTCATAGTACCGATCTGCTGTTCGAGTACTTGTAACTCTTCGTAGCCGCCCTGCATTGGGAGGATTTCGAGCTCGGGATATTCTAAATGTCCATCGGGCTTCTGGTGGCCACGGTATATCTCAGAAGAATTTCTCTGGACAACTTTGTTCAAACTTCCTTTTACAGCTTTGCCTAGCTGAGCCGATAGGCTTCGAGATCCGGGGGTAATATACCTCTTTGATGACTCGCCGGATTTATCCGTAGACCAAGTCATAGCATTGCCGTTAGGTCCTTCCTGTATTGCGAAATCCCTCTGGATCACATCGTCTTCCTTTCCTGCTGGCCCGGTCCTTTCATGGCGCGTGTGCGATGGCCATTTCGCCCACGACGCAGGAGGCGTTCGGGACCTTCGAGGACCATGACTTTGTGGCTCTATCTTAGTTTCTACTTGGAGCTGATTATCTTGGTCATTCATCATGTTGACCCATTCTCTGAGCACATTGTTCGAGATATCTGATTGCGGACTGTTGTTATCTTCGTGGCGGCACGGCGGTTTAAGATTCTGGCCATGTTCCGTTCTAGCTTTCAGGCTCGGTACGCTAGTAACACGAGCGGCCTTGTTGCTTGATCCAGGTTGAACTGGGTTAATAATCTCTGGATATTTCAGACTGACTGGGGAATTTCCCCGGTCCTGCCGTGTACCTAGAATATCTTCAAGCATTCTCGTTTGCTGTCGCAAACCTATGACACTTCCCATGTCCTCATGCTTCTGGTCTGTGTCGGACGTCACCAACTGCTGGCTAAAATGACCAATTTTGACATTTGGACTTTCCGCACTGCTAAACTTGGCATCGTACATGCTATATCGCCAGAGATCTTTTGTCGGGTGCTTTGCTCTTTTAGGTATGGGCAAATGCAGTTTGGCAAATATGGAGCTCTTAGTAATGATTGAAGTCCTGGGTTCGTTGAATTCCTCTCGGAACTTGCTGGAGGTTGGTGTGGTTATGTCCCGACGATGATGAACTTGTGTAAATCTTTTTTCGATCGACTTGAGTTCTGCCTCTCGTTGTTTGAAGCTTGCCGTATCCGAGACCGCTACCGAACTATCCTCTCCTACTTGGGTTCGCGGGTCTTGGCCGTCACACATCGTTACATCTAGTGCCGAGGCATCATTAGGAGCGGTCTTGTACGAGCTAATGTCCGACTTCTCGGCATCTGTAGTTCGGCTAGGAGATATGAGGCCTAAATATTATCATTAGGTTTGGTGCAGCTTCCTACTATCATAGCAAAACTCACGGTTGAAGTTTGCGAATGGCGGTATAGCTTTACGTCCTCCCAGGAGCTCGATCAAACTTAGACGTGACTCCTTTTCTGGAGCCTGGCCACTGTTGGGTCTGTTAGTATATCGTGAGGATGCGTAATAAGAGGAAGCTATATCCTGAGCATAATCTGCAGAACTTGGATTTATACCATCGGGAGAATCGTCGCGCCGCTGGCTAGATTGTTGCAGACCATCAGACCAAGATATTGGCACCTGGGCTGACTCAATTCCCGTGCCTACGCGTGAGCTGCATGGCAGAGCCCGTGCATTTTGAGGACTCTGGCATGTTGTCGAAGAGTTATCCAGATTATCCGGGACATTTTTTGCTGGTTTCTGACCCTCGCCAAGGTCTTCGGATGGGCCTCGTTGGCCGTTTGGATCAAAACTATCCAGAGCCATTTGAGAAATCAAACCACTGGTCCTTCTGCTTGATACAGCTGAAGTCGATTGTAACTCTTGGCTCCTTAACCATATGTCTAGTGGCGAATTCTGACCGGAGCCTTCATCGTTAGAATTCTCTGTGCATGGATCTTCGGGAGTTTCAATAATACTTGGGTCGCGGTGTTGACTACATGATGGTGTTGGCTCGTGCTGATATGAGTTCTCCGTCAACTCTAAGCTCTCTGTTGGTTCTTTAACACTTGAAGAGCTACTCTCAATACTGTGTTCGTGGTCTTCGTCTTCTTCGTCGTCAGCTTCACTACCTACCCTTGATTTAGTAGGTTCGGATTCTTTGCTGGGACTTGGATCGTCAGGGGGACCAATGTAGTTCGCGAGCTGTTCAGCGCTATAAGAAAGTCGCCACGAACAGAGAGATTCGGAACCTCGAGCACTTGGTAGATGGACAGGGGTTAACTGTGGCGAAGAAGGAAATTGTGGCAAAGGACCTTGTTCCTTCGGAGTTCCATGACTCTTAGGGATGGAACTTTCGTGTGATGGTTTAGGTGAGCCTGAGTAACTACTTCGGCGAAGAGATATCTGTGGCTGGGAGACACTGCTTGGGAGCGCAAGGAGAACGATGTTCGGAGAGCCAAGTGCAGAGTCTTTAGAAGCAATCTCATTCGCGTCCGAGACAGAAAACTCTATATTATCTCGAGGTCCACCACCAGGTAATCCAACATTAGAGGAGCTGTCAGGCTTCGGTTCGTCAAGGTTGTTCGTCTTCGCAACAGCTTCCTCTTGTTCTTCTTCACTCTTTAGCTCTTCTTGAATCCTCTTGTGCATAAGACGTTTCAACTCAGCGCGCCGTGCGATCTCTTCGTCGCTCGTACCGAGATATTGCTGGGAATGTCTTCTTGATTCGGACTTTTGAGATAGGGGTCTAATAAGCCTGGTCCTAATGGCTTCCAGTGTGCCGGTGCTAGAATTTCTGACACTCCGTCCCAGTTCATCATCATCCGAATCTTCAACTTCAAGGATGGTAGGATCAACCGTGGCCTCCGGGATCGAGCTATGCAGTAGAGAAGGGGCTTTTACAGCCGCAATGTTTGATGATGAAAAGTCTAGTTCAGAGGTAGGAAACTGTGAGCTGGACAACTTCGCACGGGGTGGATGAGTTGGAAGTTCGAGTGTATCTAGTTTGTCCTGTTCATCTCGGCCAGGTTCTCGACAACTCGTTCGTCGACCACGATAGCAGCAGAAGATGGACATTCTCAAAAATTACGGACTGAAAAACGAATGAGAATGTGTTAAATTTCTGTCATGTAATTCCAAGAAAAACAGAAGAAAAGGAAGACTTGACAATTATCTTGCTGGAGTTGGTTGACTGAGTAAGGGGTCGGCAGCTCGTGAATCCTTTCGATACATCTGATGTCGGACCATCCAACTTTACATATTTGGACTTAGGTTCTCTGAGCTAGGCACCTAATATAATAAAATTAAAGGAATTATGAAGGTGGATTATATGAACCAGTTCTTGCCTTCGGTTTTAAGAACTCAATGGCACTTGAAGGGCGTCACCACCTAGTAGTTGCCCCCAGGGAAAGGGGTAGGGGATAAGAGGCAAGAGGTGATACCGACTAGCAGAGGTCTGGTTGCCCCTTCTCAACACACGGCTCCCTAGAAAGGCCCGAAACTTATCGCAATGGATATCAATGTACATCTCCCATACCTTTTTCTTCATTATCCGTTGTTCAGTTCCAATAAGTAGTAATTGATCATATAGATGCTCGTATATTGCACCCAGGTACCTTAGGTATATATAATGAGGCTTTCGGCCGTGGGAGTAGTTGATAGACAATTCATGTCTATTTTAGAAGAGTTCTGCTATCGAATCATATGAAGCAACCGGAAAGACATATCTACCTCAGTTCGAATAGAGATAAAACACCTTTCGACAAGCATGTAGTTAAACATCTTATCAGAGTATCAGGATTTCTTCAGATACTTCCACATCAGTTAATATCTAACGGTATCTGATAGAGCAATGATGTCACAGCGAGCCGTTGTAGATTTTCAGCTTTCTTATTGGATGTCTAGGATCGGGTTTGACTTGGAATGACTATAAAATTTGTAGTTCAAACTTTTTCCAAAGCGGGTTCTATATAATCTTACTAGTGACACATAGGATTTGGTTCGGACCACAGCAAACCCTTACTCCCCTCCCCACACCGTACAGAATAGAATATAGAATATAGAATATAACACAAACTATCACATCGTCAAATATCCAACAAGGCCTGCGTGGCTCAATCGGTAGAGCGTCAGACTCTTATTAGGCACCTTGACGATATGTCTTGATGCGTGGGGAATCTGAATGTTGCGAGTTCGAGCCTCGCCGTGGGCTCAATTCCCATGGCTCCCAGTAGAATTTGGGATCAACATAAATTTTTTTCGCCCTTCTGTTTCCTGTTATCCAACGGCTTTCAAAAGTTTAGTTCTCTCAAAGATAGCACCTCTGACGAGTCACGACATACCTATTGAGCGTCCTTGTACAATGGGATGAACACATACGTTCCCGCCCTCTTACATAGGCTGTATCCACACAGCCACATCTGTCGATGCGAAAGAGATATGAACATGTCTGACGACGGATGAATAGACGTCGATGACAGAGACGGTCCGTGGCATCTATATACATGTTACGCTTGTATTTTGAGGACTAAAGACATTATTAGCGGCAGTGTTGAAGTTTCTAGCCAGATCTACTCCTCTGCTCTCTAGTTACACATATTGCCATATATATTCATCTGGCAAGAGACACACGGAATCACCTCGAGATAGGATTCAACTCCGCGAACTGAAGCATCTAGAAGAATTATTTAATACCAGAAGAACCCATTGAGATATGATATACGGTGGGAATACATGATTGTAGCGGGAAAGCGGCGAAACTGAGATGTCGATGTAGGGTTCAAAACCCACTTATGTAGGCCAGCCACCTAAGCCCCTTATGAATTAATGCGGCTGTAGACTAGGGGCATCTTGGATCGTCTTAGTAATTAGTCCGGGAGTAGCATGCGAACTAATACGACTCTAATGTGAAGGAATGTAACGGGAACGGACAAGGCGCGCATCCAGGGGCACGGCTCGGTCGCGGTAGAATTGATTATGGTTACATAGTTTACATGCAGAAAACAAGGATGAACAGATTTTGACACCATTGGTACTTTGAATATCATGTACCTAGCATCCCATATCTTACTTGATGTTCGGAGCGAGCTGTTATGGTCCGGAGAAACAAAAATGGAAATGTGTGATAATTCGGCGAATCGATTTTCGCGGTCTCATCCACTGCTTCGAACTGATTTGCTATCGGAACCCCGAATACCTAGGTACCTAAAGAAATGATTAAACGACCAATGGATAGCTCACAATTTGACGTCTTCTGAAAGAAGTTTGTACGCTAGACATAAGCTTTTATGTAGTTTCTTGGTATTTGACTATTAGAAGATGGGTACACCGAAACTTGCTAGTACATGTGATATTAACAACCTTATCTATTGGATCCTCCACATATGATACATGTAAGCTTAGATTCGTACCGTAAAAAAAAAGGAAAAGAAAAAAAAGAGGCAAGGACCAACCAGTCTCAACCAAACACTAGAGAGAGAAAGAGAGGAGTATTTGCTCCCCGCTTTCGGACCCTGAATGTAATCCTTCTGTTGGTTCCTGTTGGCTTAGCTCATAGCACGACAACTGGAAGAAAAAATTGTTAACCCCTCATAGATCTTTAACTCATCAGTCCACTTGAGCTCCCCATAAGAACCCCCTCCCTCACCGCTTAGTTTTACTTTATTCTTTTACCATTTCCCCCTTCCCTTTCTATCCTCATCCTTCTTCCCTTCCTCCTTAACTAATCCATTTCTTATATTTCCCTCTTGACTGTTGTTGCTTCGCATCAATTAGTCTTACTCTTCTAAGAATTAGTTAGAAAGAGTTGGGATACAGCAGTCTGAATTTCGCGTGAGTCTAGACTCCAACCCCACCATCCACATTAAATCTCCCCGCCAAAAAAAAAAAAAAGATTTTATCACTAAACTCCATCATAGAAAACCTTTCATCTTCCAGATATCACGAATCACCGCCAAGATGGTTCAATCTGCTGTTCTGGGTTTCCCCCGTATGGGCGTGAACCGTGACCTGAAGAAGGCAACTGAAGCTTGTGAGTTTTCTGTCCGGCTCTTCCGAAAGGATCCGAGCAACCTAGACGATGACAGTCAGATTTGGACCTCTTGCTGACTTCACAACCAAGACTGGGCTGGCAACATTTCCCAATCCGATCTCCTTGCTGAGGCCAAGCGTCTTCGTCTTGCCCACTGGAAGATCCAGAAGGATGCCGGCGTCGAAATCATTCCCAGCAACGACTTCGCCCTCTACGACCAGGTTCTCTCTCACATCCAGGACTTTGGTGTAAGTTCCAAAATACCATACTTTCTAAACGTATTCTTCATTGAGCTGACATCGAATTCAATAGGCCGTCCCTGAGCGATACTCTAGCGCTAACCTCGACCGCGTCGATGAATACTTCGCTATGGGCCGTGGCCACCAAAAGGGTGGTGTCGATGTCCCCAGTTTGGAGATGGTAAAATGGTTTGACTCCAACTACCACTACGTCAAGCCTACCCTCCAAGACAACCAGACCTTCAAGCTCACTGCCAGCCCTAAGGCTGTCGTTGAGTACATCGAGGCCAAGGAGGCTGGTATCAACACCCGACCTGTCCTGCTCGGTCCCGTATCTTTCCTTCACCTGGGTAAGGCCGACCGTGGCCAGAGTGTCGTCCCCATTGACCTCCTTGACAAGCTTCTGCCTGTCTATGAGGAGCTCCTCACCAAGCTAAAGGAAGCCGGTGCCGAGACCGTACAGATTGACGAGCCTATTCTCGTCTTCGACCTGCCCGCCAAGACCAAGGCTGCTTTCAAACCTGCTTACGAGAAGCTCGCTAGCTTGGCTGGTAAGATCCCCAAGTTGGTCTTCACCACCTACTTCGGTGACATTGTTCACAACCTTGATCTCGTCCCCAAGGACGTCTATGCCGTCCACATCGACCTTGTCCGCAACCCCGAGCAGCTAGAGACCGTCTTGGGAGCCCTTGGGCCCCAGACCGTCCTCTCTGTCGGTGTTGTCGATGGCCGAAACATCTGGAAGACCAACTTCAAGCGTGCCATCGAGATTGCCGAGAGCGCTATCCAAAAGCTTGGCAAGGACCGCGTTATTGTTGCCACCTCTAGCTCTCTCCTCCACACCCCACACACCCTCGCCAGCGAAAAGAAGCTGGACCCGGAGATTGCCGACTGGTTCTCGTTCGCTTCCGAGAAGGCTGTTGAAATTGCCACCATTGCTAAGGCGGTCACTGAGGGACCTGCTTCCGTCCGAGAGGCTCTTGAGGCCAACGCCAAGTCGCTGAGCGCTCGTGCTACCTCTAAGCGAACTAACAACCCCCAAGTCAAGGAGAGACAATCCAAGATTGCCCCCTCGGACTACAACCGCAAGTCTGAGTTCCCCTCCAGAATTTCCCAGCAACAGAAGAAGCTAAACCTTCCTCTTTTCCCTACCACCACCATCGGCTCTTTCCCCCAGACCAAGGAGATCAGAGTGCAGCGAAACAAGTTCACTAAGAAGGAGATCACCGAAGCTCAGTATGACAAGTTCATTGAGCAGGAAATTGACATGAACGTCAAGATCCAGGATGAGCTCGACCTCGACGTCTACGTCCATGGTGAGCCTGAGCGAAACGACATGGTCCAGTACTTTGGTGAGCGTCTGGATGGCTATGCCTTCACTACGCACGCTTGGGTTCAGAGCTACGGTTCTCGTTGCGTGCGACCTCCTATCATTGTCGGCGACATCTCTCGCCCGGCCCCCATGACCGTCAAGGAATCCAAGTATGCCGTGTCGGTCTCCAAGAAGCCCATGAAGGGTATGTTGACTGGTCCGGTTACCTGCTTAAGATGGTCTTTCCCTCGTGACGACGTTCACCAGTCTGTCCAGGCTGAGCAGCTTGCTTTGGCCCTCCGTGATGAGGTCGTTGACCTCGAGAAGGCTGGCATTGATGTCATCCAGGTCGACGAGCCTGCTCTCCGTGAGGGTCTGCCTCTCCGTTCCGGCAAGGAGCGTCAGGCCTACCTTGACTGGGCTGTCAAGGCTTTCAAGCTTTCTACCGTCGGCGTTGAAGACTCCACTCAGATCCACTCTCACTTCTGTTACTCTGAGTTCCAGGACTTCTTCCACGCCATTTCTGCCCTGGACGCTGACGTTCTGTCCATCGAGAACAGCAAGTCTGACTCCAAGCTTCTGGGCGTCTTTGTCGACGAGGCTTACCCTCGCCACATCGGACCCGGTGTCTACGACATCCACTCGCCGCGTGTGCCCAGCGAGCAGGAAATCAAGGACCGCATCGAGGAGATGCTCCAGTACCTCAAGCCGGAGCAGCTCTGGATCAACCCTGACTGCGGTCTTAAGACTCGCCAATGGAAGGAGACCAAGGCGGCGTTGGTCAACTTGGTCAACGCAGCCAAGTACTTCCGTACCAAGTACGCCAAATAAATGGCGCTCTCTATTAAAGAGACCAGTGTTTCAATTTTACGAAAAACTGATGATAATTTTGCATGAGGTTGTGGGGAGTTAGCTGCTAAATTTTTCCATGGGAACTGCATAATCGATTTCAACATCGGCGTTTTTACCTGGCAGGGTTCTCGAAGGGGATCTATACCAAAAAAGTTCTACTGGAAAGAATGGCGGGAAACGGCAGCATTCAACATTAAGCATTTAAAGGGCGGGACAGAAATATACCCAGATAGTCCATCAACCGGGCTTTGGGGGAGTAGGCGGCGTTCAATTGGCATTTTGATTCCCTCTTCCGAAGAAGGGATCGTATTTGCGATCAAATGTAGATGTATGAGCAATCTGTCCAATTCAACTGGGCGATGATGAATCAAGGAAGAATTGAAGCTTCCGAAAGCAATACCTCATTTCTGTTGTGTGAATATTTGACGTTAAAGTGAAATACTGCCAACATATGTGTTAAAGTGACATGTAACATTAGAAACGTGAGAGCCTCAAGAGACGAAGCCCCCTTACTATGTATGCTTAATTAATGCGCCAAGCCACATTAAGTATTAAGATTTTTCTTTTTTTTCCTGACTTTTCAAGGACGTTCCATGCCGAAATAAAGGACGGGATTTGGACGTATTACAAGAATCTTGTATATTGACAAGGTTAATCGCATCTTTTTGCGAATTTACAGCGGCCGATCCGCTGTGGGAATGGCCCTAACAGGCCAAAGCAGCGAATCAAAGCGCAGATATGGGGATAGTGAAACGGTAAGTCCCCCCCTTTATTCATAT